AGACTCTTCGTTAAGACGAATCGAGTTCTTCGGTCACTGACGTATTTGTCTAAAATAAATACGTCTGAATTCAACTACATACCTGCCGTGCGCCAATGACTTAGGGGTAAAATCTCCGACTACAAAGTCAGCTGGGTTTCCATCCCAGTTTGAGGCAATCGGATGTCTAGCCACACTGATGAGCTGTGAAACAGTCTGTCTGTGGATGACAATATATATATAATATATATATATATATATATATATATATATATATATATATATATAAATCATTTCACCACTGGGAAAGTTGTAAGACCACTAAGAAACAAGGGGTTACTGTGAAAGAATAAGAAAAAAGACAAAATTTTTAAGGATCGAGATCAATAAAATAAAAGAAAAGTAATCAAGACAGAAGATAACGATTGACATTGTATTTATATTTTTAATGCTATATATATATATATATATATATATATATATATATATATATATATATATATATATATATATATATATAATGACAAAAGGAAAGCCTATCTTAGCTGGCGCATTTTATCCTCTGAGGGACTTAAAAGGTAAATGTGAAAATTTTATTTTGTAACAATTATTTATATACAAGAGCAAAAATGTTATTGTTTTTTCAATTTTTTTTAAGTGTAGGAACGCTAATGAATATTCATCCACTATATAAAATAAATTACCAGAACTGTTCCTCACAATACTTTGGGGAAACTTGCAGAAAATTTTAAAAAAATCATATCAATGAACACAAAATGGAACTTATGCACAGCAATCTATCAAATGCATTAGTTACACATAGATATACTCTAGCCGAAAATTTTACACACACACACACACACATATATATATATATATATATATAGATAGATAGATAGATAGATAGATAGACTGAGATCGATAGAGATAGATGGACAATGAGAGACCAAGATAGATAATGAGAGACTGAGATAGATAGATAGATAGATAGATAGATAGATAGATAGATAGATAGATAGATAGATAATGAGAGACTGGGATAGATAGATAGATAGATAGATAGATAGATAGATAGATAGATAATGAGAGACTGAAATAGATAGATCGATAGATAGAGAGATAGATATAGATAGATAGATAGATAGATAGATATAGATAGATAGATTGATAGATAGATAATGAGAGACTAATATAGATAGATAGATAGCATAGCATAGTACAATCTAAAACGATCTTTTTTAACTTGAAGCTAAGCCTTTCTAATAGCGATATAACAAAAAATAATAGAATGAAAATGTTTTTTTCTCAAAAGTTTATACGTTTAAGTGTGTTTAAGAGAACCTAAGAAGAGTATATTAAAACTTCAATCTCTTTATATATAACAATTGTGTGTGTGATTTTGAATGTTTGCATAGTGCATCTGCTTGCTTGGCTGTGTGGGTCGCGTGACGATCTGTATTGAGAGTGCGTGAATTTCGCCACGGGAATCGCAAACAAGTAGAGACAGGTAGATTTTTACTTCGACTATGGAATAATTATTTTTCTCATTTCCTACAGCATCTAATCTGTCAGTAACTGTTTTTCTTTTTTTGTTTTGTTTTTATGCCTCTGCACACGTCCTCGTGTTTGTCAGCAACATTATATCAAACAGAAAACAAGACTTCATGTGTTGTCTGAGCTTCTGATCATTGAAATTAATTCCCGAAAGGCCGCCAAAAAAGGCCTTTAAGCTCGATAGCCAAACCCTTTCTATTTACAGAATTTATAACAGGTTCAGGCACTTCTTAAATTGGCTGGTTCTCACGTTAAAAAAAGGTTTGTTTTTTAAACAATTTCTGATGATTAGCATTAGACCTTCCTGAAACCACAACAGTTGTCAAAATGGAGAATATTGATATTTTTCTCACTTTAGAAGAGGGTCCTGTTCATAATATAAACACAGTGTCAAATCGACCCCTGACTTCAGAGAGAGTTATCAGTACTTTTTTGAAATTGTGCTTACGTCATTGATAATTGCATACTACAGGCTGCTCAGTAAAAAAGCGGCAAATTTATTGTCACTGTTTAATCCTTCAGGAATAACGGACCTTGATTTACCTTGAATAAATTTTCTTGAATATCCATGACCCTGAATAAAACTATTGCCTCCTGCTTACAACGCTTACAACTTTGTGTTGAACATTCAGACAAACATTTCTAACATCTACGATGAATCATAATAGCTAAATAAAATTCTTTCTGAATTCGCAGCTTTTTTTACTGGGCACCCTATATATCTATATATATATATATATATATATATATATATATATATATATATATATATATATATTATTATTATTATTATTATTTCCTTTGATTTCTGGCGTGTACACATTTCGTTTCGGGTCCCCTTAGAGACCTAAGTTTAGAAATGGCATCATGACACTTTCCAACGACAGAAAAAAAATAAATGAAAATAAAAAAAATAAAAGTATTTTACATAGATAAAGCCCTCCGTAAAGTGTGGGCTGTACTTGTGAGAATAATTTTTTGTATCTCTTTGAGGCATGGACTTCCAGGAATCCCTTCAATGAGTCTACTGGAATCTTTCCCAACCAATCCTAGGGCTCCAACTACAACAGGGATTGTTGATGTTCCCATGTGCCACATTTTTGAGATTTCTATTTCAAGGTCCTTGTATTTTGACAGCTTTTTGAATATCTTCAAAGATACATTGCAGTCTGCAGGGACTGCCATATCAATAAGGAGGTACTTTTTTTTGTTTTTTTTTGTGGTCTTTATTATTATTATTATTTTTATTATTATTATATTGGGCACCCTGTACTTGAGTTTATAGGTAAATAATAGAGGGTGGATGGATATTATGACATATCATTTTATGACATACGTTTTCTAGGAATGTCTTTGTGCTGTGGAAAGACATTTAAAATTACGGAGATATTTGTGAGTATTGCTAGTCAATCTCACTAGCCATTGTTGTTCTCTTTAATTAGTGTTCATCATATTAAGGTCATTTTAGTACAAATAGAATTATCTCTAAAACAACAAGAAAATGCAGAGTAGTTACAATGTAAGACCCTCATTTACCCTCAGCATAATTTGTTCCGTTAAATTTTATGAAGCATCAAATTCTGTTGGGTTATTTAATGTTCAAATCTGTTTTTATTATACAGGGTGCCCAGTAAAAAAAAAAAAAACAAAAAAAACGGAAACTTTATTCTTCGAGAAAAATACACCAGCTCTAATTGATCCATCTCAGTGGCCCTCTAAAAGTCCAGATCTAAATGTTTATGGTTTACTGGATCTGGAGTATACTCGTAACTCACTAGCAAAACCGTCGCCTATATTGATTCATTGAAGCAGAACTTACCTGAAGCTTAGAATGAAATTCCTCTTGATATTATCCGCAAAGTTACTGAATCCTGGTTACCACGCTTACAATATTGTGTTGAACTTAAAGGCAAACATTTCGAATATTTACGATGATACGTTTGTACATTGTTATGGTCCGGTTCCTTGTACCACGGTGATAGTCCAAGGTAGAACCAATAAAGAAGAACTCGAACACAGATATGGAATAACACAGATATATTACAAACAGGAATATATACAGAGAAGTAGAAAGTGATAGTATGAACAATCAGGTTTAGTAGTAATTGTCTGAACGACTCTGTTTCGGTCTACCTCTGATTCGACTGACTGACTCGCTTGCCCTAACTGACAGACTTCTGACGGACTTCACTCCAGATTTCAGACTGAACAGTATTTAGTCACACCGCCCCCACAAGGGCATCATGTGGCACAAGTCCGGTTTAACGTAGGATCTCCGAGCCCGTGGGATCTCCGAGCCCGTGGGCTCGGCCAAAAATATACCCTTTGAACCCGTATAAACGGGTTCAGGGTCGGTTTACCTTCCCGAAAGAGAATCCGCCCTTCGGCGTAGCCTCGTTTGGGTTCCTCCCCGCCCGAAGGCAGTGAGTTCAACCGATCAGCCGATCAGCCGGTCGCCCGACTTCGGACTGAACTCTCTGCTTCCTCTTGAGGCGCAGTATTTATTACGTATGGAATAGTCCATTATGTTATTATGGGTAAGGTCCCATAACATACATGAATCATAGTAGCTAAATAAATTTCTTTCTGAGTTTGCAGCTGTTTTACTGGACACACTGAACTATCAATTGAGAAAAAGGACAAAATAAATCACATCATATCTTCCGGGCAGAGCGCAACTCAGTTGTGTCTGCGGTAGGAGGGCATCTGAGAAAAAATATTGAGAGGTGCGCGGTCCCCGGCCAACAGCTGTCGTGGCAGTACCTCCTCATTGCACTAAAAACAGGGATAGGTAGTAATATCGGTTGAGGGGGGTGGGCAATTTTTGGCCCCAGCCCGGGTGCCCGCGCTCTGGTGACCTACATGTAACCAAACTTGGGTCATATCTTGTCACTGTGGGGAGACAAAGAAATACCATCATATCTACCTGGTAAATATAGTATTAAATTCTACAGATCAATTTTTGCAAACCTTGCCTTTTAAAAAACAGGAACCCCGAAAGAATGTAATATAGGAAAGAGAGAAGAAGGGACTAACTGTCAATTGTAAGAAGACAGATTTTATGGTTGTCAGAAAAAGAAAAGCCCAAGAGGCCAACTACAAAATTAACTATTAACCCATTCCAGGTTATTTAAAGCTATGAAAATTTTTTAGAATGCATGAACTGCTAATTAACTCCTAGCTGGGGGAGAAAAGGAGGATTCATAATTTTTTTCAAGTGTATTTGCGAGTAAGTGAATATAATGATACCAACGAGAATTGGAAATTGCCTCTCCGATTAGCAATTCCCAGCCATTATTCATTACAACGTCCGCACATCCAAGCTTCCAGCAGCTGGTATTCCCAAGAGATCATCCATCTAGGTACTAACCAGGCTAGTCGTTGCTTAACTTTGTTAACCGTACGGGAACCGCTGTTTCAACGTAATGTGGCCGTAAGCATTTTACACCAGCCACACATCCAAGCTTCCAACACGTTATTTCCAAGCAGTCATCCATCTAAGGACTGACTAGACTCGACATTGCTTAACTTCGGTAACCGTACGGGAATCGGCGTTTCAAGGTGATATGGCCGTAAGCACTTTACATCACCCACACATCCTGGTATTCCTAAGTGATTATCTAAGTACTGACCAAGTGCGACGTTGCTTAACTTCAGTGATCGTACGGGAACTGGTGCTTTAACGTGGTGTGGCCATAAGTACATTCAAGCTTTCAGCACCTGGTATTGCCAAACGGTCACCAATCTAGACACTGGCCATGTTCGACGTTGCTTAACTTCGGGAACTTATCTCATTGAACAATTCCAAAGTTTCGTGTCCAACTGTTTTTTTTTTTTCAGTGACAGGTTTTCGTCTCGTCTACAGTCACTCTCTTACAGACGCGCCGTCGCCTCCCTCTGTCTGTTCTACAAATACTTTCATGGAAATTGCTCCGAGGAGCTGCATTCGCTGGTTCCCAGACGTCATGAGTTCAAGCGCCATACGAGGCTGGCATCCCGCTCTCACCCCTTCACTGTCGAAACTCCTAAATGTGGCCGTCTCTTCTACTCCAATAGCTTCATGTATCGCACCTCTCGCCTGTGGAACTCCCTTCTCTATTCCTGTTTCCTTGTGAGCTATAATCTCCAGCTATTCAAGTGTAATGTCAATCGACATCTCCAGTTGCCTTGATGTATCCACTACCCCCATCCTTTCTTCTATCACTCCTATCTGATCTTGCTCTAAACTTTCTGTAACCCCTTGCGTCCTAGTGGCTTCCCGCCTTGCTTGGGGTGAAATGCTTAAAAAAAACAAACCCTATTGAATTATGATCAAATATTAATTTTATACTCATAAAAACAAACGCTAATCATAACTTTCAAATTTCAAACTTGATATAAGTACCACGCTACAGTTTGCTAAAAACGTAACACACACGCATAAATATATATATATATATATATATATATATATATATATATATATATATATATATATATATATGTGTGTGTGTGTGTGTGTGTGTGTGTGTGTGTACTAGATAACAGATAGAAATTAGTCAGCACTGGTCAGTTGAATAATAGAGATCAGATTGAGGAATCGGAAAGCCGATTTCGAATTCCAGTCGAGTTCATTACATTCACTTACCCTTGGGAAAGGCATGTATCCATCTCCCCTCACCTCAGCTATGGGTAAATAGAAGGATTGATTGTGTCCTATAGCCTTGGTTGGCAACCAGTCTAGGAGAAGGAAAACTATTAATTCAAACCAGACTGGAGAGGGATGGGTCCGTCAGGCTCTCTTGTCCAAGACACTCTACTGCTGCAGTGGCTTCAGTAGATGAGGTGCCCCTACGGCCCTAAGCTAGTAGGAGATTCGTTATCGTGATCAGGGAACTGAAAGTGATTAATTGACAAAAAAAAGTGACACATAGCAAGAAGAAAGGATGGAGCAAAAGGTTGGTTGATTGTGCTCAATGTGTAGTAAATGCAGAATAAAGAGATGTGATTCCGGAGTTTTCTTGTAAAGACGGCAGCGACTAGCACGGTCATGGTCGTCATAGAAGTCAAAACCCGCATTGTCTGCTGCTCCCGATGATAATGATATCTGAGTGGAAAAACCTGATGCAATCAGAATATGCAAGGAAGAAATGTCCAGCTAAAAATGTATAAATCGTTAGGTAAAAGGTACAGTGACGGTTCACTTCGAAAGTGTAAATCTGAATTTATCTTGAAATTTCTTGTATCTTTTTGAATTCTTATAGATATTTAAATATTTGGAAAACTTCAGATATAAGTAAAGAAAATATATACTACATATTAGTAGTAAATATTCATTGATTTATTGAATATATACAAGTGGGTACTGAACACTTCTTGGCCTGACCAAGACGGAATGGGAAAAAAAATTCTGCTGTCTGGTCATTTAATGGAAGTATTTTCACCCACTTCCTACCTAAATATGTTATTAGATACATTCATAGAAAACAATACATTTTTATCTCTTAAAATGACACTTACCTTTTAGTAGCAGTGAAAAAAAGGTATGAAAGAATATTTTGTATATATATATATATATATATATATATATATATATATATATATATATATATATATATTTACCTACAGTAAAACGGAAATTAATGAGAAAAGCTAGAATATGTAGGTCATTAAATGACCCATACCCTTTGTGCATACATGAGAAACTATATATTACTAAGTTTATAAAAAATAAAAATTTACTGAATCAAAGAAATGAAATAGCTTTTCTTTGCCGACATTGTCAAACATTTTCCTCAAATAATATTTAAATATAATAAAATAAATAAATAAATAAATAAAAGAAAAATGGGAGCTGGTAATATACATACTTATATTTGATGTGAAAAAATAATTTTAAATAATTTAAGTAATTCTATTACATTTACTTGTTTTAAAAAGAAATATAGTCTATTAGTAATTAAAAGTAAAAATAATATTTTAAAATTGTAGTTCAATATAACACATTCTGACCCAAACGCCCACTTTAGAAAGAATCTTTATCTATACAAGTACGAGTTTAACGGAAAAAAATGCCGAAAAACCTTTTCTTGCTGAAAAAAAAAAAAAACGGACGACATACGTTGAACGGATGTCAAAATTCGTTGAAAAATGCACCCCTACCATCCCTAGACTTAACCTCTTTTTCGAACGTAACTCATAATTGATACAATAATAGTTAATAAAAATGAACACGCTACCGACCCTGTTTAAATGATTGGATTTCTCTGTATCCTTGGAAACAAAAAATTATGAATTGTATGTGCGTTTAAAACTCAGTAAATTTAAAAATTCCAAATTCGCTTGAAGATGAAACAGAACTAATGCTGTTAATTTAATCATATATTTAAATTTGAAGTTTTTAGCTTTGGTTTTTGAAACATGGTAATTCTTATGTAGCGAAGAAACCATATTTTAAATCAGTTAATTTATAATATATCTAACTATGTATATACACATATATATAGAGATGAGGATATATATATATATATATATATATATATATATATATATATATATATATATATATATATATATATATATAAAGACATTTTTAATGTTTTTTATATTAACATCTACCGGTCTGAATGTCCGAGAAATTTTCATAGAAAATATGCGTCCTCCGACAGGAATCGAACCTGTATCCTGACGTGCTTTACCGATTTAGCCACGGAGGTGCGTTTCGGTTAGCAAGGTCGATTTTACTGTTTATAAACTACAATTCTCCATGTAAATGTCGTTAACACTGTTTGTTATAAACAGAGCATTTACATTTGTATCTATAAAAAGAACGTATAAACATAAAAAATGTCTTAAAATAATTGTCGGACTTTGTCCATTTCATTATATATATATATATATATATATATATATATATATATATATATGGGGACCTTTGTGACACTTTATGCACTAGATCTCTATATTCGGCTCTTCAAAAGTGTGGTTGGTTCTACACAAAGCCTTCACCACTATAACCAAATCATATGTGCTGGTGTCTGGCTGTCAGACCTACGAACTGAGTTGCTTGACCCTCACACGCCGGAAAAAGCGATTGGAGTGTTCAGTATATATATATATATATATATATATATTGGAGGCCATCTACATTAAAGCAAAACAACCTACACTCAAAAAAATTTCAAACTAGTCACAATACCTTACATTACATCTAGACATATGGTTCTGTTGTTAATATTTCGGCCTCTCACGTGGTATGACGTCATAGAACCACGTCATGAATTTACGACCTGCGTCTGCTATTCCGTGACCGTTATCGTCGCATAGCAAATCTTCTATGTCAACATAACAAAGTAGTATCTTCGATAGGGAATATCTTTGTTAAAATGTCCGTATAACCACTCTGAAGATGGCTCATGTGTGCCGAAAGCTTAGATGAAGGACCAAATTTTGGACAATTTTCGTCTTTTATTTTCACCCGAAATTAAAGCAAACATGCGAACATTAGAACGGCACATGATCAGACATAACAGACATTCATTGGCTGTTATATTTAACTATATATGTATGTATGTATGTGTGTGTCAGAGCATGTGTGTATGTGTGTGTGTGAGGGCTTAGAAAAATATGACAAACTGGAAAAGTTTTGTTTTTCATCACACGTTTCATCCGATGAAATTCCAGTTTGTCATATATTTTTTCTAAATGCTGTTTGTTGATATATAAAATTATACAAAATTATACATCGTTATATACACATATATGAATACAATATCTGAATATTTTCTAACATTTTGAAATTTGGTCGCGGGGGTCAATTTCGCTGATATAAAAAGTTTGTTCTGTTTTGGTCATTAGATGGGATTAGAAGCGTTTATATTGAATTAACTTCATTCTAAATATCGCTTTTTTTTTAATGTGACATCTGTTCTACACTACTTTTTATGTCAAAACTAGTAGATTTTATTTATTGATTGTTTTTATTTATTGACTGAAAAAGAAAGATTAGAAGCAATATTTTCGGCACATCATGAGTTTTATTTAAAGAAAAAGGAGGATTTATGCAAAAGTAAAGATTTGTGTATTTTTATGGAAAAAGGTAATGCAACTGATCAAATGTGTCAATAGTGGTTTGCAAAGTTTCGTCTTGAAATAGGAATCTAAAAATGCTACATCTTAGTTTAAAATGCATTTAAAAAAAAGGGAAATTAATTCTTGAAGATTTAATTTTAGTTTTAATTCCAAAATAATAGATGATATTTAATATTTCCAGTAAGCAATATACTTTGGTGAATTTAAATTGATTGGAATTTTTCCTTTTTATTAGTAAAATACATAAATTTGTCCATATTAACAGATCTGTAAACACAAAACAATTCTTTTTTCAAAAACATTTTTAAAAAACAAATACACTTTTCTGAAATATCGAGGAAAATTAGTTGATTTAAAGTTTAATTCATCTGATTTGATAGAAATATTAGTTTTAGCTTAAAATATAGTAGAAAAGAATTTTTAAAACACAGATGGGTGTTTTTAAGACGTGTTGAGTGATTTACTGACAACCTTACGTTTGGGAAAATTAAGTAAGGAAGACAGAATTTTTTTAAATGAACGCTTTCTTTATTGTGCATAGTTTTGTAACTACCTCAGTAATCTAAAATAAATAAATAAATACGAATACACATTAAAAAATTTAATATTTTATTGTATTTTAGGTACT